GTGCCGCAAAGGACATCGGCAGTGACATGCGCTCCCTTCGTTGTCTGTTAGTCTTCCTGTCTCTTTCTGGTCACGATGAGTAACCACTTACTTGCGAGTATCCCATTAGAACCATTTTCGTCTGGGGACACGCCTTGGCGTAGTCCTGGACCAGCTTCGTCATCGCCGTGACGCCAGCCTTCTGTGACGGCTGGTAGGGGTTCAACAGCGCAGGGTAATCGACCGGAACGATATCGGATCCTGGAATCTGCGACTGAATGCTGTTCGCGATGGCGCCAATGACTCCCGTGCCCGGCTGCTCGGTGCTGGCCCGGGCCACAATCATGTGCACGCCCGTCGCACAGCCCGTCGCGTTCGTCTGTCGAGAATAGACCTCGCCTCTGCTCTGCAGGGCGCCCAGAAAACCTAAAGCGACGACGGGTGAATAGACCATGTTTGCGGAAGTGGAATAAGCGCGCTGCACTAGTGATTTTGACAGGAAAGGTTGTTCGTTGGGCAGATGCTACGTTGGCGTCGAGTTACTCTGAAGACTTCTATCAAAGAAAAAGTCAAGATGGGACGAGGGGACGCTGCGCTACTTATATGTTGAGTTGCGATGGCAGACGTCAGTCCGAAAGCTGAGTCAATATCAACCACCGTTTTCCGTCCATCGCGGCAATCGAACCAGCCGAGGCTGCTATGGACCAAAGTCAGCTCATTTGCGACAGAGAATGCAAGGAGCGTGGCAAGAAAGACAGTCGAGTTGGCTACAGGACGTTGGAAGTCGCGAGGGTCCCCCATCAAAGAGTCGCCTCCGACCTGGCGGGGCCAAGACTGGGGTTGCTGGACCATCCCAAGATGGAATCAAAAGCGAATTCCCAAACAAGCTATCGGGTTCTCGGCCGATTCAACGTTGAGTGGTGGACCACATGGTCTCAGCATGGTGTGTTTCACCTTGAGCCTCCAATCATGGGTCAGAACTCGCATTTCGAGACCCTCGATTCGGTTGGCGGTGGGAGAAGTCTGTAGTTGCAAAAAGGCTGCAAAACGAATTGCGGATGATCGGCTCCATGGTTGGTGATCTAGGGTAAGGTAGGCACGGTACATCGCGGGTCTTCGCAGGGGGGCTGTGGTGAGCAATGGAGCTAAGGTGAGAGATGCGACTGGTCGGCGCGGTTATGATGCACGTCATGGGTTATTTAATGGAGTCTTTAGGAAAACGAACGATACCGGGGTAGTTCCAGATCCTTCATCCGGAATCCGTTGGATGTTCTGTAGAGACAAATGCGATTGGCTAGAATCTGTAATCTGCGCGGCAGCGCGGCAGCGTACAAGGCGTTCATCCCAGCTATTTGAGTAAACATTCTCCAGCAACCCTTTCATAGCCCCTGGTGATCCGTTGTAACTCATGTAGAGACTCTTGTTGTCAATAGTGGCTAAGCTTCTTCATCGACTGGACATATCCACACATGCAGCTATCCTTGGTCGGCCGTCAGGGCTCTACGAGCACTCCTGAGTCCTGAGGCCAACTTTCGACCCTACTAGCTTGAATTGATTTGATCAATCGGCCGACCAGATCACGATTCCTGCTGCGGCAACAACTCATGCCTCGGTCTTTGAATAGCTCTTCCACTTGGTGAGACCGTTGGGGAGGCGCTTGCCTGTCTCGGGTGCTATCGCGAGATTTGTGACGCAGTCTAGTTGCATAACGCGGACCAGGGACATGCCATCAATATAGCTGAGGCTTAGCTCCATAAACAGCTCGGAAACATCATACTACATGAGCAGGCGAGTTCTTCAAGCGGGCGATGACCCGAGGTTGCTCCTGGAAGTGTCCGATGAAATTCAAGGACCTGGGTATTGACGCCCGCTTGAGTGCTGATGATTTCCTTTCATTGAATGTAATGAGCTTCCTCCATGGTCTAAGCATAACGCTTACTTGATTTTCTCAAGGCGCAACCGGAAATCAAGATGATCCTTTTCCTAACTTCTTCCGTGACTGACACCTTGACTGAGTATTAGTTGGTCACCATCGCATAGAGTAGCAGGAAAGGCCACTGCTGAGAACCATGCATAAGCACCCCGATCACTACGAGAAGAGGCAACCGAACTGATTTGCATTCTTGTTCCCTTGTTCAAAGTGGAGATCTCCCCTGTTCCGTATAGGAGCTTTGACGGGCAGGCTTTTTGCAGGAGGCAGCTCGGCGATCAAGACAAATCACAGAAAAGCCTTCGGTCATGGCGTTTCTTACCCGACTCCACCTTGAGCCATGCCATGAAACCATCCGCTGTGCCCCAACGAGCTGGAGCAAAGCACGTTCACGGCTCAGCTCCATCACTACTTCCACTAAGGCTCACCTGCGACAGAAGAGAGGAACTCTATTAGAGTATTTTCGTGGGGCGTGTTTCTTTGGTTTGGCTGGAACTGACGCCGAACTCAGGAGAGCCGAGGCATCAGCTTGTCCTTCTTATGTCAACTGCGTATCATGAGGCTCGAAGAAACCGACCGGCGCTGGCTTCCCCATATCGAACCCATCGCTATAAACACTCACGGCTCGTGGTCAGTCGGATGATCGCCTTGAGTCGAAGGAGCCGTAGATGAGGCATACTGCACACCGCGGGGCGGGAGAACAACCCGGACAATTAGGATCCATTCTAACTACCTGAATTTAGCTCATTTATCACTTGAAGTTTAGAGTCATCCAGTGTCGAAGCTACAGCCGTCAACTACCTATTCCACGATCCGGTGAATACCTGTACTGGTGCACCAAGCGGAGTCTGCGGTTGCGACATGATGTCTTCGTCCATTCACTAACAACAGCTCGGATACCAGCCTTCATCGCCTCTTGAAAATGCTATGAACAATGTGAATCCTAGCTGTTATGACCGCATATGCTTAAAGGGGGCTAAGCAGCAAGACACAGGCAGAGGTCTGGGTGGCAGGATTACCACATCTGTCCGTGATCGGTCGGTGAGTGAGCGCTCATTTCTTAGAGTGGAAATTAAGCTCTGGCGATCAGATTGCGGAACCAATGAGCTGTTCATGAAATAAGTGTAATGAGCGTCTACTTGCTTGGACGTCTGCGCACGACAGCTGCCATCTCGTGGTGTCCAAACACCAAGAATGATGACGTAACACCGCAGCCGAACATCCCGCCGCAGATTCCGGTCCGCGCCAACTCCATCTCATCCTCTTCACGACAAGTCCAAGAACAACATCGATCACTACAACTAGCAAGATTTATGAGAGCTGTCTCATGTAATGGCTTCACGCCAGTCCATCCCTGCTTACAGAGACACCGATGTGGAACTCGACGCTCTAGCTGAAGTCCCGGATCTTGAAGGTCCAGACTTCCCGCTTCCGCTTCTACACGACAACGACGACAACTTCGGACGGCCGACTGGGACAAGGAGTTACCCTAGCGACAACATGGAAAACGCACCGAAATGGATGAAGAATGCGCAGCCGTGGACCCGCTCCTTGCCGCAGAGATTACTCACGACAATACAACCCCGGCTCACAGTGGGATACGTGCTCTGGAGTCTCATCGGGCTATATGTCTTATACTGTATCCTCATCCAGTCGCCTCTACTCGCATCCAGGCTACCGAAATACTCGGGGCCTTTTGAAGTTGGGGCAATAGATATCGAGGTCCCCGTCCGTACTCCTCGCAACACGAGTGACTCAGTTCTCGCCAGCAACGGCAAGCCGGCGTTCAACCTCGAGACAGTACTCTTCACTCTATATTACCCAGCCGAGAAGGGTGTCAGGGGAACGGGTCATCACTATTGGGTGCCGAAACCCATCAGCCTTACAGCAGAGGGCTATGCGAGGGCCGCTCACTTCAGCAACTTCATCTCGCGACCGATATTCACGTTCGCACTATGGGCTCTGGTGGGGAGCATCAAGATTCCCGCCCAGGTTGACGTGCCACTTCTCCCTCCAACAAGCAGGAAAGGAAATGAGAAATTCCCCGTCGTGGCGTTGTCTCACGGCCTGGCCAGTTCCCGGACGGATTACACGCACTACTGCGGTGAGCTCGCGAGCCGTGGAATTGTCGTTGCTGCTATCGAGCATCGCGACGGCAGCGGACCCGGCTCAGTTGTCACAGCTACGCACGGCAAGAGCCGCAGGGTCATATACCTCACCAAGAATGAACTCAGGGGCGGCAAGGAGATGGAATCTGATGACTTGAAGTTTGAGCAGCTCGCCTTCCGACAAGCTGAGATTGAAGAGACGATAGCGGTGTTGCAGTCACTACACGCCGGAAAGGGGTCAAAGATCTTCACAGACAATGTCCGCAAAGAAGGCCGCGGCTTGGCGGACTGGGAGGATAGACTCGATTTCTCCCAGACAGTGATCGCAGGCCATTCCTTTGGCGCAACGGGCGCCCTTCAGGCTCTTAAAGGGGCAACCTCAGACGAGAATCCAGCCGTGGGAGGCATTGCTCTCGACCCGGGGAAGAGCAGCGGACGACTTAACACCGATATCGACGTGCCCGTCCTCATCGTTCACTCCGACTCTTGGTCCAAGACGAGCACACCCTTCTTCGGCCGTCCGCACTTTGACACGGTCAGGGATATTGCAAGAGACGTACTGAAGCGCGTGGGCTCAAGTTGGTTCCTGACCAGTCTAAAGACGAGCCATCCCAGCGTGACCGATGCGCCGCTCATTGAGCCTTTGCTGCTTCGCTGGACCACGGGGGCTACGATTAATGTGCGGCAAGGGTTACGGGAGTATGTGAGGGTGACTATGGAGTTTATGACATTTTTGAACAACGGTACGAGAGAGGGCGTCCTGTCGGAGGGGGTGACGCATGAGGAATATGGGAAGGATACGATGACGGACGATGAGAGGGCGAGAATACCCAAAGAGACGACGAAATACTGGCAGATTCACGTCGCGCCGCCTCGTGAAGTATAATGAGAATGCCATCGCATAGTCGATTAATGATAGGCATGAGAGTTGCTACCTATTTGAAATCTTGTCGATGATTGCCCGTGAAGCCTCGAGGAAACGACTGGGTCAGGATCTAAGACTGGTTCGCCTCATGTCTTTGCTACTCAGTCTGCCATTGGTCTCGAGTGATGATCTTCCCTCCTCCAAGGCCACACTGCACAAGTCAGGCTGTCTTCCTCACCCACTGGCCGTGAATGGGAACTCGAGATTAAATCTCACATCGAAAGACATCATCTCAGTCAAAAGTGCACATCAATTCAGATCTAGAACAGAAGACTGGATCACCCATTCTCGATCTCCCGGCATGTTCCGCATCTTCGTTAGGCGACATATGGGTGCCCAGCCTCTCAAGCCTCGTGAGTCTTGGTTCCTTGCCGAGCATCCCAAGCCAAGGCAAGCAGCGTCAATGCCGCGCTCCCACCCTCCCAACCGGAAACGATACCCCAGTCCTGTCGCCAGAATACGAAGGCGGATGTCAGGCGCATTGGGACGGTGGCGAGGAAGAAGGCGCGGTTGTCTTGGGCGGCTGCTAGGGTGTAGTAGATGCCCATCGCAATGGCGGCCAGAGCGTTGCCGTTGGCTGCGGGGAGAGCGGCAGCGGGGAGGTCTAGCGCCTTGAGGGAGTCGTGGGGACGGAGGAGGGAGTGGACTCCCGCTGCGAAGGAGGAGAGGCCGAAGACGAAGACTGTGAGGCGTGCCGTGTTTGGTGCCATTGTGCCGTCGAGACTACCACACTGCCGTGGGCTACCCGGGGTAGTAAGAGGGTTGGTAATCGTGCTTATGTCCGGTCGCCGGATGAAATTGAGACTCTTGAGGAATCACATCTAGGGAGAAACTTTGGTTCGACGTGCTACGAGTCTACGAGAGGACGGACTGGAGTAGACTGGTTGAATTGGTTCTCCCTTTGGGGCTCCCTTCGGGACGGGGACGACCCGAGCGGAGGGAGACGAACCTGTGGAGTTTGTTCTTCGAGGGGTCGCACTGGGGGCGGTGTCTCTGGGCGGACATGACGTGCGATATGTGGTTAGCTGGAAAGTCTAAAACCAATACGGACTGGGTCATCACTGTCACTCTGCTAGGGAACCCCTGAACTGGACGTTGTGGCTTCACTGGCTTGAGACATTCTGATTCCAGGTATCCGGAGGACCTTGAATTTTGGAAGTTTTGGGATATTGTGGCTTTTGAGGTGGCCTGATGCTCTTCGGAAGGGCCTTTCGACGTCAATGTTTGAGGCTAGGCGGTCGTGGCCGTGAGGAGAGCAGCGGGATGCCTTTGAGGATGGGATTTGTTTCGTTTTCTAATTTGCGGCAGGGTGACATGAGGCTTGGCGTGAACTCTGGAGCTTCAACTTTGTGTAACCGGGGATCGAATCCCGGGGATGTGATTCGATGGGTTCAGGGTTGAGATTGGCAAGGCGAGCATCGCTGCATCAGATCATACTTTGGGGGGGAATCATCCCGTCGGCAGCGTGGCTTGACCACCAGTAAACTTCGCTCTCGCGTCTGCTGCCGGGAAGGAAACGCCTCATCGCCGTCATGAATAAGCGGCCCATTCCGCAGATTCGATGAATGAGGCGGTGAAGAGTACGGTTGGCAAGCCTCAACAGACATGAAAAGCCCAAGACATGCTCCGAGTTGAGCGACAGACGAATGAAAAAACGGCTGGGCGGGACGGTGAACCGCTTGAATGGGAAAGCATTGGTGAGACATGCGTAGGCAGCGGAAGCTGACGTGAATATCTACACAATTACTCGTCCACTATGAGTCTCTGAGGCGTGTGTGGTGGTGTGTGTGGTGTGAGTAGGTATGCAATGCAGTGCGGCATGCGGTCGCAGTACCGTACCGACTGTACCGCACCCGCGCAACCGCAGACGAGACCAGACTTGCAGTGGAGGTTTTCAGTCTCCCTGGGTTTGATGGGTCCGAGACACGGCCGGCCTGCTTGTGAACCAAGACATCGGGGGCCCGGTGCAGAAGTGAACGTCCAACGTCAGTGGCAGCATCATCGGCGGCCTCTGGTTGTTGAATTTTCTGATAACTGACCATGCAGGGTAGGAGGAAATATGTGTGATGGCATGGTGTTGTTGCTGCTCGCCGGTTTCAATAGAATGCAGGCAAAGTGAGGTGATGCATCTAGAGACTGGCCGGTCGAGAAGACGAAGCGAGAGAAGAAGATGTTGTCCGGTCTGTCGACTCGATACTACCTTGGGCCATAGGTCGGACGAAACCGTCAGAGAAGAAGAGCCGCTTACCGAATTTCGACTTGCCCTAGCACCTCAATGGCACCCTTCAGACCTCAACTTGCCGAACGAGCACCGAAAAGGGAGACCAACTACCATGCAGATCTTGAGATGGGGAAAAAGCAGACGGATGGAATTGTGAGAAAGAGAAATCCTCCGAGTCCGTGCCCTAGAGCCAAAGTCAACTACCGGCACGTCCATGTCAGCTTACCCTTCTACATTCCCACCTCGCAACACATTCTTCCGTCCTCCTCGTTGTGGTGTCATTGATATCCAGCCTGAATATCACTACGACCCTTTTCTTGAGTCTCACGGCGTCATCTTCAACAGACGATGCCTTCTCTGGGCATTCCTCCGCGAGACTGGAACAAGGCCCAGGCTCTAGCATAACGGTAAAACGCCCGTTAGCAATCATCAGCATGTCCGACATTCCGGTTAGACGTGCCGTGTGTCGACCACGTCAACCACAGTCGGGCGATAAAGCAAGCGAGCAACCAAGAGCCGCGCAAGTGTCGACTTGGGTTCCCAGTCCAGCTGAATTGAAGACATCCCGCGACGCATCATCAAGCCCAGTCGTCCGATATTCTGGTTCTTTGCTCTTGTCTCCAGGTCCGACGTGGCGGACTCCCTGTCAATGCTTCCCGTCTAACCGAACAGCAAGACTCCAACGATGGAGTATGGTGTGTGGCCCTTCCCGCATCTTAACTTGAGACAGGTTGGGGGGCAGTAAGAGACAAGAAAAACAACCAGTGGATGCACAAGGCGTCCGGGGTGAGATTGGAGAATCGATAGGTGGGCTCACTTCACCGAGTGTCGCCGGCCAGCTCGGTGTGGCTGGACCATCGTTTCTTCTTTGTCGATTCTCTCCTTCGGGGCGTGAAGCAGACGCTTGGGGGACGGGATGATGGCCCTCGCCTCGGTCCTTGACGAATCGCAGCTTCGTCGCAAAACGCCGTTCCACCCCAAAAAAGACCACACCAACAAGGGGAAAATAAAAAAGCAAAGGGACCAAAGCTGGACTTTAAAGGACAAAGCCAAGACAGGATCGGGCCGCAGGTGGGCAGCGAGCCGCCGCCGCCGTCGCCGCCGTCCCCTGCTGGATGCGCTCTTTTAATCAAGTGCTTGCTTGCTTGCTTGTTTGTGGTGGTTCCGTGTGTGTGCGGCGCATACATTACCAGATCTCGGGGTAGAGAGCCCGCTCCAGCCGGCCGGACCTGTTGGCGCAACTGGGAATGGCGTCGGACCGTTTGGTGTTGGCGCCGGTGCGGGTTCATTTTTGCTTCTCTCCCGTCTGGTGTCTCTTGATGGGATAAAAGGGGGCACTTGGGGGCGGCTCGGACTGCAGAACGGCCCCCTCCCCCCCATAGGTTTGGCGATGGTGATACGATCCGATGTTAGTGTCATCGGCCGGCCGTTAGCATTATTGCCCGACTAGTGTAATGTGAGTACAAAGTATCTTAGTCTAGTGTGTGTGTGTTACTATGTATACCTACCCGTAATGAAAAGAGCTGAGAGGAAGAGAGGGAAACAGAGAATGCGAAACTGAGAGACTGAGGAGTTGGTGTGTGTGCTCGCCGAGTCTGTCTACTCACACCCCCCGGCCGCCGACCGTCCACACATGAATCGTCCAGTCCAAGTCCATTCTTGGTTCCTGATGGTCCCTGTCGAGAAGCTGAGGCCAAGTTGGATTTTCTGTCGCTACGCGCGCTTGCCGCACCCAAAATTCGATTCACGCTTTAACCCCCATTTAATATTACCCATCCAAACCAAAACGGGCAGCCCTAACAGTAGGTAATCTTGTCTTGTTTCCTAGAGTTTCCCGCCGTCTCTTTCTCTCTTGATTGAGTCTTGCCCCCCTCTCACCCCCAGTTCCCAGTTCCCTTGCGACACCGACGCCGCGGCAGACATCGGTGCCTGCATCTATACAGTCGTACATGACGCCATGCACATCGTGCATCCACTGATCTCCTCTGGTTCCCAGTTCGGGATTGGTAGCAGCAGGACCGTGGGACGGGGCACGGAGACGGGAATACCAGATATTACCTTGGTCCCCAGAGTGCCGCACGGCCAAATCTCCCGTTCTGGTTTTACCTTTTTCTCAACAGGCTCGGCAGGGCCCTGCAAAGCGGCAAGCCTGGCGGGGTGGGAGGGAAAATAGTTGAAGGGTTCATATGTTCTGTTGTCGTGGCACTCCGAGAGCCGTGATTTGCTGGCAAAGTCACCACCACTCGCAGCCAGAGTCAAGCCAATTTGCGAGACATGGCACTGCATACATAGCACCAGATCATATGCCCCCGTCCTTTTCCCCCCTGGTTCTGGTTCTGCTTTGGTTTGGCTAGGTCGAATTCGCGTCCAGTCTGGTCTGGCCGGCCATGGTATGGAGCATGGAACGGTTTGGCATGGGGGCCCGTATGGGCAAAAGAACGAAAAAGTATGGCACGGCATCGCATGGCATGGTTCGGCGGCGGCCACCACATACTTTATGATCCAAGGAATGGCTAGGCCTGGAAGTATCGCCTCGAAAATATGACAGAAGTTGGTGAATGGTCACGAGCCGGCCCCTGGATCCCTTCCTCATCGCTCAAACGGGCATCTTGCAGCGGAACAGCCCTGGATGTCGAATACACACCCTAATGCTTCTAGCCTCTGACCCCGCAAGTCGCCGCTGGCGGCATTCTGCTCTCTTCGTCTCTGAGGTCATGGACTGCTCTCACCCACACCACCCTCTCGACAAGTGTCGACATGGAGTGTGAGAGGGTCCTCCGTCTCCGTCTCCCGGCAATGCACATGCTACAACCATGGGATTGCTGGAGCTATGTGATTCTGTCCCCCGGCCGGGCCCCTCCCCTCCATCTCATCACCTCCCCTCAGCCAGCCATATCCATAATCCATACCATACGCATCCATGATCCAGCACCTGGGCCCTTGTTGGTCTTGACATATGTACTTCCCAGCAAAGCAGATCCCAACAAGCTAAAGTAGAGTTGGACCGACAGGACCGGCCGGCCGGCAGAAGGGCCGCATCTCTTACTTCCTATGTACTCCCCCGTCCCACTCTTCTCCATCCGTACCTATCTCTGAGCTCTCTCTTGCTCTCTTCTGTGCGTCTCGTGTTTCTCTCTCACTCTCTCTCTCGCTTGCCCCCTTCTAGTCCCCTTCTTTTGCTGCTTTTGCTGCCCGGTGGTACGACGGATCGACTGGCAACTCGTCCACGTACGCCTCTACGGATACATCCATCCACCTTGGCCTTCGCCTTGCCGTCAATAACCTGACCTGCAGGCCCGGCCACCGCACCCGCATCCCCCGTCCCATTCATTCCCCCTTCTCTCCTCGGACACGGCCGACCTCCAATCAACCTACCCACCACCCCCTTGAAGACTCACTTTGTTGCTAATGCATCCGTGAGCTGACACATCCGGGGAAGGGCTTCCGGCAACAGAACCCAGAACCCAGAAATACCCCCCCCTTCCGAGTCCGTAGAGAGCCTCAATGAACCTTTTTCTTAAACCATCGACCCAAACGGCGTCGTCTCCCCGTCGTCCACGGTCCCCGTCCGCCCGTACGCCGTCCGCTATCATCCCGGCAATGGCTTTCGCATCGTCGCCCGTTGACTCGCCGTCGTCCTCCTTCTTCGCCGCCGCCGCTGCCGCCCCGGACCTTGACGGCCTCGCCCAGGCGCCAGCGTCCGTCGCTCGCGCCATCCTCGTGGCTCTCTGCGATGACCGACGGGTTCGAGCCCAGGCGTTGAGACAGCTTGAGCGGCTGCTACGCTTTGAGGCCGATGTCCGCGAAGAAGAGGAGGAAGACGGTGCCAAGAAAAGCCCCAATTCCATCTCAAGTCCGTCAAATCCAAAGAAGAGAAAGGCAACCGGCGAGCCCAAGATCTGTGTTCAGTGCGACGGCATCTTCACGTCCGACGAGAACAGCTTTGGTTCATGTTGGTACCACTCAGGTAAGCAAGCAAGCAGAGCGCGGAAACCCAGCAACAGCAGCGAAAGCAGAAGCAACAAGAGACTGGTAGAGCCTCTCCACCTCCTTCCAACTCTATTGTTGCTTCATTCCCATGCCGTGCATCTTCTTTTCTCAGCAGAAGTACTACGCTATACAAGCTGTCAGAAGGGTATCTTATTCTCGTGGTTGAAGGGTCATACTGACTCGTGCACCCACCCCTCCGTTTAGGCGAGCTAGAACTTTGGGATGAGACGCAAATACCACCAACAATCTGGGACGACGTATCGTCAGACGAGCTAGACACAGATTCCAACCGCTTAGAGTATCCCGCAGCGTTTCGATGGTGCTGCTGCCAGAGGCTAGGCGACAGGCAAGGCTGCGTGCGCGGCACGCACGAGGCCAACCCGGACAGGAGTAAAAAGGGCCGCGGCAACGAGCTGTCCGATCTTGAGGACGATCCGCTGGAGCTCGACGACACCTCATCGCAGGAGCTGGGACCGCCGCCGCATCAACAGCACTACACGATCTCGAACTCACCGACGGACGCTGGCCACAAGGCGACGACGGCAACGATGACTGTGAGGACGGCAGCCGCAACGACGACAACGCACCATCACCACCAACAGCAATGACGTTCGAAAAAGGTTTTCTTGGATTGTTTATTATTTTAAGGACATGTTTATTGTCCATGTCAGAAACGAACTCGCTTCCATGGTTCCCCTCCTTTCGGCCTTTCGGACGAGGCTGGTTTTGGTAGACCGGTCAAGGAAATTATTACGGTTTCGGTCAATCGGATGGGCTCCCGGCCTCCCGACCGATGGTGGTCGGTCAACCGGTCGACAAGGCCACGCGAGATTGAAATGGATTTTTTTAAGGTGCTGGCAGGGCTGTGAACAGACTCGAAGGGAGTCAAAGCGGCACAAGTTCTAAAAAACCGGAGCGGAGCGGAGCGAAGCAAAGCAAAGCATTTTCCTAGGAGAAGGGGGAGGCATAGCATTTGGCAAGTTTGATACAACAAGACATTTGATGGATGAAGCGAGCAAGCAACATTGAAGTTGGTCGGACAAGAAATTGGAGGGGGCGATGCTACTGTACTTTGGGGGCAGCTTTTTTGCCCAACCGGCCACTTTATGCCCGACTTATTGGCCAGGCTGGCATTTCATTGCCTTGCATGAGGATATCCTCGTACATCAAAGACATCACGAATAATGGAGGCAGAACGTAAGAGCATATCAATTGTATTTCAGTGGTGGAAGAATCAATGAATCGAGGGCCACTGGAGAAGGAGAGAGGGGGCAGCAAAAAGGACGGGGTGAAGATGGCCCCCAGCACAGAGAGAAAACGTCGATTTAGACAGACGAACGGGGCGAGCCCAAGTTTGCCAGCGATGCAATTTACCTTACTTCTCGTTTTCACGAGCCAAATTACAAAATCATCCGTAACATGTACTGATCATTGATGAGGTGAGAGAAACAGCGCGCAGCCCAATTAAGGCGGCATTCCCAGGATCGAGATGGCTCGCATTTTCGCCTCATGGGACTGGCGGTGGCGGAATTCGCATGGTTCGCCGACGACGACAACGATACCGTGGTGAGACGAACCGGAAGCGTCCTGCCCAGAGCGGTCCGATATCATCTGCAGCAAGCGCTCAAATCTGCAAGGGACACCAGAAGCGGCCTAGCAATCCCGCTCCAGGGAATATGAAGCTTGCCAGCCAGCAACGCAAGTACGGAGTACAGACGCCAGACCGAATGAACCAGTAGGCTCGCTCCCGGTGGTCGCACAGGAATTATGTCCCCCAAAACCCGGACCAAACTCCAGAGAGGGTTGAGAGAGTGTGTGTGGCTCTTGGGGGACACAAGACGCACCACCTACAGGCTACTTGCCTTTCGTCAGCTAACCAGCCGCTGGACCGTCCCTGGGGTCATGGGTAAATGCCCTGTACTCTGAACTATAGAGACTGGAGAGCCGTAAGCTTGCGGTGCCACAGCAGGGCTCTGTGTGTGAGGAATCCAATGAGGCCACCTGGCGAGCAGGGATGACCCTTACCATCCGAGATTCCCCGGCAAACCCTGATCTACGGGAGGCCGGGGAGGGCACTGGGTGACGGGTAAAAGAAACGGATGTCTGTGGCAGTTGAGTGAAACCCCCCGGCCGTTCAATTCTGATAGACAAGAATGAACATACTTCCTAAAAGGAGGGAAGTGACCCCGGTGAACCCTTTTGGAAACTGGTTTGCATCCCCGTCATTCCGGGTTGGAGTGAGTAGTCGTGGGACTCCACGGAGTACACTAAGTGGGCGCGGTCTAGATGGCACTTCTAGAGTGTACGCAGTTAGTTGCTAACGTAGAAGCCTCTCGAATGTCCACGAAAGGCAAAGCTTGCGGACCATCTGTAACGTCGAGCAAGTTGCTTGGAATTTGGTTAAGGTACTCACTTTTCAGATCTCACATTTGCTCCACGCTTACTCGGATAAACTCGACTACCAATTCAAACTACGTTACTCTACTTACCGACTGGGCTAAAGAGACTGGTGTACGAAGTAAAGTACCAAGCTAAACACCAATTTACCCCCGTTAAAGTCCGATATCGCAAAACACTTTTTTCCCGGCCCGAAGAAAACACGAAACTATCGGCGCGACACGCCAACGGCAACCAAGAAATCAATGGTTGATCAAGTAAGACAGCGAGCCGAACAGACCGCCGCCCCAAATCGGGAAACGGCGGCCATGTTGGAAGCCGTTTCGGGCACCGATGCTCGAAAAGTCCTCTTCGCACTCTGCAGGGAGGATGAGCGGGTCCGCCGGCGAGCCGTTGACCTGTTGCAGAAGATGCCAAGGACGGATGTCTGCGCCAACTGTAAGGAGAAGTTTGATGTCAACAGGAACGCTCCTGACGCATGTCGTTACCACCCTGGTCAGTATGATGGAATTCCACAGTCAACACCGTATTCGGAATGAGCGGGGAATGTAAAGCTTCGTGTGACTGCACGTGCTTGGCGAGTAACGAAAGGACATTACGCTGACGTGCGTATAGGAGACTTTGAATTGGACGAAGACTTGGAGGTCTGGGGCACCATTGATGAAGTGGAAGAGTTTTACGAGATGGACAGCGAAGAAGCTCGGGCTGACGTTCCTGAAGGCTTCAGGTGGAGCTGCTGCCAGCGCGTTGGCGAGGTGGAATGCTGTCAAAAGGGACAACACGTGGCCGTATTGGAACACGCCCCTTTGACATTAGGAAGTCTCGGTGAGAGTAACAATGGGGCGGAGGTTCTTGGGGAGCAAAGTCATGGCAAGCGCAAGGCTGAGGAGGATATTGTCGGCACTGCGCAAAAGACAAGGACGGGTTCTCGACGGATATGACGCGGTGACTCTTGTTCGCTGGCGTGGAGCATTTGAAAAGCGGTTGGCTTGTCACTTTAACAATATGCGACACATCATTTCGTTCAACATCTCCAAACATGGTAATTGCCAAGCTCTCAGCCCTTGAAGGATGCCATTCCCGCGTCTCCAGCCAAACAGCTGACAGCTCTTTACTACGTGGACCACACGGGGAACTCATCACACGGAAATCCATGTGGGGATAGGTCCGAATAAAGCAGCGATGCCCTGCGCTGAGAGGCTCACATGTGAGTTGAGGGCTGTCAGGACTCAGAAGTCTCATGGACTGGCTGACTCGCTGGCTCGTTGAAAAGATCGCCGGCTGACGGGACTTTCGGTGTGGTTCCGATATGTACTTGTACACCTGAGAAGGGAGACGGGAAGATAAGACAGCGGAAACGAGGGGCCGCACTATAAGGCACAAGATGACTCGAGAGCCTTAAAAATCACCGAGAAAAGTTTAAAGAGTCAAGTCTGGTCACATAAATAGGACTTGACAGAGTCTTGAGGGCACTTGATTGAACTGGGTACCGCGAATCATTCCCTAAAATATGGATTCGGGTGGGCCTATTGCGGGCGCCTTCAAGATAGAAGTGCCCGCTGCAGAATCCACTGCAGAAATTCAGACGGGCCAGGCCGTTCGGACTGCCCCCGCCGCATTTGCGAAGTCATACAGAGTCGTGAAGCTTGTTACCGGCTGCTTTCCCGAGTCATAAGAAGAAATCTAGACCTTGTGATACAGGATTTGTCAACAGAACCATCTCAACAATAGAGCATCTGCACGGCGAATTAGCATCTCGGAACGATCGCTCCCCACACGTCCTCGCGATTAGGCGATTGTGAAACCCATTTGATGGGTAATTAAGAGTTATCATTCATCCCTCCAGAGAGGGGATCTGGGACCTTGCGGCTTTTTCCCGATTTTAGAACGCCTAACTATTCGAGATGGAGAATATATGTACAGAGATAGATTTTATGTGCTCTTCTGGGGGTTTCGTTTGTCTTTACTGGTTCTTCTCAAAACCTTTGAAGAGCACGAGCGTAGCTCAGGCTATCTGACCCATTGCTGAGCTCTTGGAACGTAGAAGGACGAAGTCAAAAAGCCAAGACCCACCTCAAGACTCTTGTTGTCGTTGTTCAAGACCCCATCTTTCAGCTGCGCTCACCAATATCTTTTCATGAATGGGGTTTCAAAGGCCTTTTAGACTTGGCTTTGTGGATCAACTCTTCAAAGGCAGGGTTGAAAAAGTTCATACCACGGCCCCTCCCAAGAGGGAATTGTAGATTCAAATTGAGACATCCTTCATGTCTAGCAGGCGGTAGAAATGTCTCGTGATAGCTTTCAGTTGGAGCAATCTCTTACCAGTCTATAGAATCTTAAAACGGATTCTGAGACACTGATCCTCGTTCAAACCTTTTTCCTGCGTCTCATCGAGTTATCTCACAGTCAATCGCCATCAGGCTTGCGACATTTGATTTTGGAATTTCCAAGACGGCTCTGTCTGCGGACAAACACAATAATCATTCAACCTAGACCAGACCCCGCTCTAGTGTCAGTTGCCATGTCTCTGAAGTGGGTTTGTCTCTATGAGGCTCTGTGGTAGAAAACTGATGATATCATAGCATGCCTGGTGTTCTCGCAGAATCGAGGGAGGCCGAACAGTCATCTGAAAACTTCCAGAGTCGGCTCCGTAAGCGAGAACTTTCCGGTTGTTCTCCTGGTTCACCACAGCAGCCACCCCCAAAGGTGATGGGCCTTCATTCACCCAGATACGGCTGTATCAGACTTGAGCTGACAGCGGACACAGAGACTCAGAACTGAAGAGCCCAAGAAAGAGGAGTCGCCATTGCTGTGAGTTCAGGCTTCATCCAATAACTAGGAACTTGAGAAACACACTAACTCAGTTGTAAACAACAGCCGACTTCCGCCAGAATTACGAAACAAGATATACAGTATCGCTTTCACCCGTTCTACCGTCACGGTCACCGCTAAGGTGGTCTATGGCTACGTTCGTGGCCGTTCTGGATTCCGCTGGAAGCGCAAGAATGTGCGACACCATGATTCATGGATAAAGGCCCAATCTTTGCCAGTTACTTTTCTCGGAACCTGCAAGCAAGTCCATGCCGAAGCGCGCGCGATACTCTACGACAACTGCTTCGATGTGCAAGACATGGAGACACTCGTCGTCTGGCTCGAAGGCTTGGGGACCAACACTGCTTGCCTACGAACCATTGTACTTCAGACCGAGCCTCAGAGGTGGTTACCGTCATCAGATCCAAGCAGATGCAGGACTCAGCCGACCCGTTATCGAGAACTGTGTCGTAGGGCTGCGAGGTTGTTGGCTGCTGCCGAAGATCTCCAGGCTCTGCGAACGCAATACTTTTACAATCTTACAAGTATGAATGCTGGCCCGGCTACGAGGGCAGCACTCAAGCGACATGGGCCTGTTTCTGGGTGGATCGGCATCGCGCGCCGGGTTGCAGAGGTATTGTACCATGATTTTCGGTCGGTGTACTCCAAAGGCCTGTCCCGCGACCACAGCCCGGAAAGGCTGTGTCGTGTCTTACAAGTCAGCCGGAATAACTGGTGGTGTTATCGGCACGCATCGATTCCGCGGAAACTCAATGCCAAAGAGGCAAGAGAGGCTGAAGAGGAGGTTATAGAACATCTGAGGCTTCTGCTCAGGAGAAACCTCGAATCTCGTCTAGGGCATCGAACTTGAAGAAGATTCATAATTACCAGGCAGCAAGTCGCTGCACTTGAAAGCCGACTTAGCTTAGCCTCAAGGAAGCCAGTGGCATGTGGGAAGCGGAGGCGGTGTTACAACCTAAAGATAAGGCTAGGTAACTAGAGTTCTGATAGCTTTGCCTGTTCTGAAGTCGTCTTGAATGATACTCAGTATTTCCATTACGGTCTGCATCTTGAATGATACAGTCTCGCTCGCTTCTTTTTCATTGAAAACAACATCATCGATGAAGCCGTTTCAGTGTCTCTCCTTTCGCAACCAAATCTTGTCTTGCAACTCGAACGCGCGCTCCAGGTAAAGCATGATGCAAGGTCGCTATAGGGAAAGGATAGCAGCAATGAGAACTTTCCTGAGCCTTCCGTATCTTAAAGGCCGCAAATCAACGGAGGTGGACTTTTCATTTATATCAAAGCGGCAATCTAATACTACTCAGCAGGAATGCCATCTACGGCCTCCAGTCCGACGCAGCACTACAAGCATCAAGCCACCCAAGTAAGCAACCACCTAACAATGATTTCACGTTGAATTTCGGCTGACTTTCTAAAATCACACCCAGAGACAAGGCCCGCATTTTATCTCCTCAACTCTCGCCGATATGGCCTCGTTGCCGGCCGTCTCAATCTCGACCGGTGGGCTCCAACGGCGGGACAGCCAGGATTCAAACACCTCGCCGGACAGGGTCTGTCTGAGTTCTTTCCTACATGTGAGATTGAACAATTGCTGATCTTGGCTGACTTGCCAAATAGAATGCGCATGATAGCGGTTCTGGGCCAAGACGCTTGTCCTTTCTGTGAGTTCTGCAGCTCGAGCTTTTATCTAATTAGTTACCAATAAGTCAAAGCACCCACTTATGGGCCCCCCCCCCTTTTAGGCCACCCCAAAAATCCCTCCTAGCCACTATATTAAAACCAACCCTATTTTTTTAATTTAATATAATAATTATAAAAATTATCTAAATATATATTTTTTTTATATATTTATTAATCGATATATAATAATATTATATATTAAAAATAAGCTCTAATAGGCTCTTAATATTATTAAAAACGGTCTTTTTATTAAAAGGCTTTAATTAAGTTTAGAATTCTTAAAGTAATATTATAAAATTAAAAAGAAATTATTAAATAAGGGTAAGGGTATTTATAAAGTTTTAAAAGCTTTTTATAATAAAAGATTAACTAGTATAATAAGTTTATATTTAATATTATTTAAGTATTATATTAATTTATAAATAAGTTAGAAAATTCGCTAAATAAGTTCTAAAATCTTAAGAGAATAATAAACCACTTAATAAGAAATAAATTAATATTTTTATTAAAAAAATTTATTAATAAAGATCTAGCGAAGTTATTTAATTAATTCTTAATATATTAATAAAACTATTATTAATATAATTAAATTATAATTTAGATTACTTAATATACTAAAAATCTTTAATATTAAATAAGTTAATAAGTATAATATAAATAAGACTAATATAATAAAGAAAAAAAGTTAATAAACTAGTTTTAAATATAATAAAAGCTATAATAATATAAAAAAAGAGCCTAGTTCGCATATTTAAGTATTAATTATTAAATATATTTTTATTAATAATAAAGTTATTAAATTACTAGTTATATATAAAAAAATTAGTATAATAGTAATAGTTTTATTTAAACTTAACTAGTATAATAATTAAAAGTTCATAGTAATAAATAATAACTAAATAATTAATAATATTACTATTTAATAATTAAAAATAGTATTTTTATTATAAACTAAGACCCTTTTATTAAGGGGCTTAGTAAACTAAACTAACTTTAATTATTAGTACTAAATAAGTATAAAAATTATATAATAATAGAATTTATATAAGAATATTATAAAAATAACGTTTATTTATTATTTTTATTATTATATATTTTATATTTTCTAGTTATTAAATATAATTATTTTTAAACTTATTAAGTCTTATTATAAAAAGAGCTTAGTAAAGAGGATATAATAAATAATTCTATTATTATTAAAAATAGTACTTTTAAGCTATTATTAAATAGTTTATTTAGTTAATTTAACGTTATTAAATATATAAAGTAAATAAAAATAACTAAATTATAGTTACTTAATATAGCTAAGCTACTTATTAATTTAATAATCTTACTTAGCTAAGTAATACTATTTAAAAGGGTATAAATATTAAGTAAATAATTAAAAAAACTAGGTGTTATTGCTAACTAGTCGTAGTAAGTATATTAATAAAAGTTAAAGCTGCGAATACTAAGTAAATAGTATCGTAATTATAAATAATTTCCCTAAAGCTATATTTATAAGTCGTAAAGTAGGTAAGGTTTTAGTAATTAATCGTAGTTTTATTAGAAGGGTTCTTAGTAAAGATAGCTAAAAACGATCATAAGATTTAATACTAAGTTAATTATTAAAAAAGCTATAGGAAGTCTATCCTCGAGCTTAGCTCGAGTCTATACTATATATAAGTCTCGTTCCTAAATATATCCTTTGTTCTTTAAATTATTCTTAATTAATCCGATCTAGAATAATTATTTAGTTTCTAAATCGTATTAGATTATCCTGATTTAAAATAATCCTTATTTTATTAGTACGTAACTTATCCTATAGTTCTTCTGTTCCGCGAGGAGTAGCCGTGTCCCTATTTCACCTGTATATATAGTGTACTGTAGCCGCCGTGGCCGGCGGGCTGGCCTTTGGGTTAGTTATGCATGTTGGGTCATAACACTAGGGGATTACTTAACTAAGTATTAACGACGTTTATTATTAACTAGTTAACTTTTAAAAAGGCTAGCGAGCTCTATAATTATTTAAAGCTATTTATAGAGCTTAATCTAAATAATAATACTTAATAATTATTATTTAAAAAAATAAAAAAAGCTTTTAATAAGTAAGCCTATTACTTAGTTATATTTTAGTACTAAGTTCGAGTTCTAAAAATAAAAATTAAGTATATAAGGTTTAAAAAGAAGAAAACTATTTAAATAGACCTAAATATTAAGTTTATTAATATTTAGAATATATAGAGGGCTTAAGAGGACTTTAATAACTGTTTAGTTAGTCCTAGTTAACTCGTAGGGGTCGAATTACTTAGGGATAATATTAATTATATTATTATAATAGTAGAAGATAGTTAATTAATTGAGTGTAGTTAGTGGCGATGTTTTGATGCTATGTTTGTTGGGGGGCCCAAAAGGGGGGGGGGCCCATAAGTGGGTGCTTTGACTTATCGCTAATACCGAAACACAAAAGACAACTGCCCCGAGAGATTCGAAACATGATCTACACACTTGTTCTAGCCCATCCAGCCCGTATTTACATTGTTGACGGCTTTGTCTCTCCTGATATATCCTCGAAACGATTTCCGGTGCAAAGGAGACGTCTCAGACAATCCAATTTTATGTGCCGTGTAAAGTTATCGATGCTTCGTACTTGCAAGAGAGTTCTGTCTGAAGCGCGTGGCATCGCTTACTACCAAACATTCCAGATTCCGGATGAAGAGGCGCTTGTCGTCTGGCTACACGACATTGGCCCGGACAACAGATTGCATCTCCGTGGAATTGATTTATGGGAATTGAGCACTTGTTCAGACCCGGTTACCCAGAATATGGTAATGAGTAGGGTCGCTAACATGCTTGATAACTCTCCGAATCTCAAGAAAATCGAGGTGTGCATTCTTAGATTCGACGGCGTGATCGACTTCAGCAAGCGCCTCAAGCTTCACAGAGATGGACAGTCAACTCCGCTGGTTACTTTAGCCCGTCACATAGCTGAATGGGCGTTTGCGTTCTTTCGCCCCCTCCTGTCTAGTCCTTCCTTCCGCAATCGGAATCCTCAGCGGCTATCTTCCTTGTTGGCGCTTGGTGAGCATGCTTATTGGCTCCACGCGCAAAGAACTGGTCCTCATGCATGCTTGCCGATGTCTATGATGTACGAAGCAGACGACTCACTTTCTGAGCATTTGGAGCTGCTGCTCGAGAGAAGTCGGAAGAAAAATCTCCGTCGTCGCCAAAAGAAGCTTCAACGACTCGGCTGATGTATTGATATGACGGAAGGTCCATCATTTGAGGTGGTCACAATGTACTCATCAAGATTGAGATAGAGCGCGGGATTTGATTAAAAAGAGGTCGTAGACGGGAATGCTGGTCTTCCTGCCACATCGTCGAAAGAGCCAGGCCCTCGGCTGGCTGACCTCGGTGAGCATCGGAGCGACCAGCTTTGGTCAGGTGACGCTCGCTGAAGGTACAGATGGGTGAGGCCGTCACGAAGAATCACCTCAGTACCGTGGTTTGGCAAGACGGTTTGCTTGGGTGTTTCATGTGTATTTCGAATAGAACTTTTACCTGGAGTCATCAAGTGTCTCAAACTCTCCGTCTTCTTAGGAGTCTACCTACCTTATGAAGTGACCTTGATGGATTTTATTGTATGTGTTGATAAAGATGGTCCCACTCATTAAGTTATCCGAGCCAACCTACCACCTGCTATCGTTACTCTAGAGTCGGCAAAACGAATATCACCAAGGACTGTGTCGTAGCGGGGAACGTCGTCAGAGAGTTGCCTGCTTGAACAGGACGCAACCTCGAGTTTCGTGAAGTTCCATGCACTGCTAAGCCTGAGGCTAAGAGAGAGAGAGTCAAGGGTTTTTGAAGGCTTCCTATGGAAGGAATCGAGATCTGTCTCAACTCTTTAGTTCTTGACGCTTTCTGTCAGTCGTAGGATGCAGGTAGTCCCATGCGGTTGGACGACCGCGCGGGTGACAGCAGCCACACACCCGCAATGGTGCCCATGAGAGTGAGCAAACCTTTTCCTCGCCGTTTGTAGAAGAAGAACTTTCCCTCCTACAAACGCAGACACAGACATCAATCAATGACTGGAAGAAACATTCTACAAAAATCGACGCCTACCTGAGCTAGGTAAGTAAGATGGGGAAAGGGGACCCGACCACATTCGAACGTCTGCTTCACATCCCCTGACCCCTTGGTCTCTAGGTAACATCTTCACCAATGAGCTGCAAAACCTCGCGCAAAACGAAGTCTAGACTTCGGGGAGTAAAAAGGCTTCGCAAGGTACGACCCTCTTCGCACAACAGTGGGAAGACACAATGGCGAAGCATTTGGCCTTCAACTAAAATCTCATCTAGCAATCTCAAAGTTTAGCCCGTTTTTTCAAGCCATTTCGGTTTTTGTGAGTACCAAACATATCGGGCATCAGAAATCAACACTGACTTTGCCATGCAGAGACTTGCCCCCTGAGCTTCGAACCAAGATTTACGAGTTCGCTCTTATTTGTTGCGATGCGATTTCGATCACTAGAATCTTTCATAAGGAAGGATGCACCAATGGAAGAGAGCTTGCCATACTTCACCATCAAAACTGCAGACTAGCGAACCGAGACACGCACCCTGTTGCCGAGCTCCTTCAGACTTGCAAAAAGATCCGCCACGAGACGTCGTTCATGTTGTACAACAGCAACGCCTTTGGATTCGAGGACGTTCCGACACTGATACTATGGCTCGAATCGATTGGACCCGCGAATCGAACCGCCTTGCGGAGCCTTGTGATTGAGGCGGAATGCTGCTACGGACAAGCCTCTATAGCATCGTGGTTGGATCCCTTGCATATATACGACTCGAACCCTTCGTTCCTGATGGCTCCTTTTCGCGACCCGTACCGAGAATTGACTGCCGAAATCGGCGACCTTTTATCCGAATCGATGCTTCTCGAAGCTTTGTACCTGCCGTGCAGCTACAGCTTCTGGAGGCTCCCAGTTCTGACGGTCAGGCCGCGCGATGCATATCCCGTGCCCTGGCAAACCCAGATTGCTCGCCGTATCGCAGAGACTCTGTTCACAGATTTCCACGCCTTTTTTGAGAAGCGTCTGTTACTCGAAAAAGATACAGAAAAGCTCTCAAAGGTTATCATAGTCAATGCCATCAGCAAAAAGGACCGCAACAAAACGTGGAGTCTAGTGGTAAAGGATGTCTTGACCAAGATAGAGGAAGGGGCAGGACACTTAAACGTATTACTCAAGCACCTTCAGCATATACAAGGTGGAGGCAAACCATCGCAATTCAGCCTTCCCTGAAATTATGTAGCAGGATAGGGCACACACTTGGATGTTGAAGAAGTGGATGGTCGGGGAATCTTTGAAGGTAACGATGTTGCTTTGCTGAAACAAGCCAGATATCTGCAACAGATAGTTAACCAGTATGAAGGATCCTTCAGCATGGGAGATCAGCTATTCGTGTGGGCGATCTCCGATGTCTACACCAGTAGAATTGAAGTCAATCCAAGTTGTTCGTGACAACAAGCGTCCCCTGAATTGTCTCGACAAATCGTGTTGTAGGAGTCCCTCTGGTCCAGTAGTTTCAACAGTTCATCCCATGACCGCACACCCTGAACTTAAAGTTCAGATCGAGCTAGCAGCAGTGCTTAGGGCAAGTCCAGCGGCTTCCGAGTCCAACGTCCAAAGTCAGTAAATGCTAGCCCCTTCGACTATCACGTATCTCTTGCGTCTCTGACCCTCATGGTCCGATGCATCTTGCGGCGCCGGCCAGCATCAATCCGGTCGCATTTTCCAAGTATCGAATGTGCTGGAGCAATGTCAAGATCGGAAGACCCTGTTACTATGCCATTCAGGATTCTTGGCAGCCCTTTCCCTGGGACAAATTGCGATGCAAATCGCTCTACAATTCCGGCAGAGCCATCTCAATACTATGAAAAAGCAGCGATCGGCGAAGAGCGCTAGATATTGAATCGATAATGTTGGAGTTTCCATGACTCCAAGTCGCGATGGTTACGTTACGGATCTCTGGAGTTCGTAAGTCGTTCGTCGAGGCTCCGTCTGGGTCGAAGTCGGGCGCGCTAGCAATTGCCAAGGACAATTCTCAACTATTAGCAAACAAGACTTGTAGAAAAGGGGCGCAAGGTCCTTCAATTGTAGTCTTTCCGATGGACGGAAGCCAAGAAGAAATGACATTAAGTCCGACATGTCATAGGTTTGGATGCCAGCTACAAAACATGCGGTCATGGTTGTTTGGGTGGTTTCGTCCCGCATTAACGTATCCATGAGACGTACTATTAGCAGAAAAAATGGCTAACAGAGAGACAATATCGATAAATGTCTTACGTTGCAAGCTGTTGCATTTTGATTAGCTAAGAATCAGGTGTGAAGGGATGATGGAGAACAACCGCCAAAGATTAGATCATCATAACGCCTTGCAGATCCAACACGACTCATTACGACGCTGCGAAACTGTGTCAGGTATAAACAGCAAGAGAGCCTGATTATCAAGATGAAAGAAATCTCAAACCCGAGAAAAACGTGGCCGAGACTAGAGAAACCGAAGTCTTCCCAGCCTCAGAACGCAATAAGCATTTCGCTAGCGCCCATGCACCTCGCTTTCCCGTCTCCACATCATGGCAAGGCGCATTTTCCAATGGCGCCAGAGGCAGATTCCCGAAGCGCGTCTCCAAGCCTGGAGAGCCCGTAATCCCCGTCAGCGTTTCCCACACCCGGGAACCAGAATCTCGTCCGGACTCCAAAGCATGGAAAGGGGGAGGCGGCGGCGGCGGCGGCGCTAAGAGCCCTGTTGATGGGGTTTCGGGGAGTTGCGATGACAAGTGTCAAGCCTCCTTGGCGCGAACCGCCCAGCCCATTGCTTCGAGGCTTCTATGGAGACGACAGAAGCATGGAGGGGAGAAGAAAGAGGCGAAGGCCCAAGGTCTCGAAGCAGCAGAGACATGGATAACTTTATTGGGTGGATACGCGTATGCTTAGGCCATAAGGTTGTTGGTGCTCCAACCTCTAGTGCCAGTTTTCTTCGTGGCTTTGTCAGAGAAGAAGTGGGAAACCGAGACCGAAGTGCCGTTCGCCTGGGGGGCCGGGGCTGTGCTACTTTTATCTTTTCCCCCATTCCAAGTCCCCCAGCGACAATAGTAAGGTATAGTATTAAGTAAATACGTGTAATCTGCGGTGTCTGACTGCACAGCAAAGAGAGAAAAAAAAAGTGTCCGCACCCATGAACCGAGACCGAAGGCATTCTCACACAATGCGCAGCGTGCGGCTGTGTTGAGGTAGGCCCGACACTATGGGAATGAGTATCAAAATTTCTTTCAGGATACGGTCAATACGTGTAAATGCGAGATGCTACAGAATGCGAGATGTTGGTATATAGATTGACTGTAATCCGGCTGTTGTTGCCGTCTTCCTTCCAATACAATACAATACAACCAACACAACCAACACAATCATCATCATCACCACCACACACACAGTCTCTCGATCTCGACTTTGAGCATTCCTCATCAAAGACTACCCGAACCAACACCGACTCCAGTCCTCCTTCCAAACATTCACAATGGGCCTCTTCGACTCCAAGCTCAAGTTCCCCATTCACATGGTCCAGCTTGCCCTGGTCATCGCGGCTCTCAGTCTCTCAGTGGCACGCATCTTCCTCCCCAACCGCCCCAGGGGTAGATCCGGTACCATGGCTCTCGGCATGGTAAGTCTTAAGCTTCTTTTACCCCACAAACCAAGCAATCAGCTAACCAAACTTTCTTCAACTCCAGGCCGCAAAGTCTCTCATCATCATCGCATACCAAGTCCTCACCGAGCACGTCGCCTCCTTCAAGCGATGGGCCAGCCTGAAGGCCAACCTCATCCTCAACGGCATGGAAGTCGTCTTCTGGGCCGCGGTCGCCTACATGGGCATCCAGGGCAACACACAACAATCCTGCGTGGGCGTCAGCTGCACCATCGGCTGGATCGTCGTCGTCGTGGGGATCCTCCTCAGCATGGTCGCCGGCTACGCAACCATCATCGCCTGGCTCGACTTCCGCTACTTCAAGGCCAACGGCGTCCGCCGCGGATCCATGAAGCAGACCGCCCTCGGCAGCAGCAGCGACAGCGAGGCCGGCCAGTCCGCCGAGCGCATCGAGATCCAGCAGCAGAGCAAGCCACAGACTGCCTCCCCTGCTCCTCGTCCCGCCGTCGCCCCTGTGCACTTCAACAATAGCCAGCAGAACCAGTACGACGCGCCTCCTTACGGCCAGCACTATGCTCAGCAGTACCAGCAGCAGTACCAGCAACAATACCAGCAGCAGCAGCCTCAACAATACCAACAGAGCCAGCAATACCACAACCAGTACCACAACCAGTACCAGTACCAGCAGAGGCAATGAGGTGGAAGAGAGGTGGACTTTTGAATTGAAGAGGACTTTCTGAGCGATTCAGCATATCCAGCGGGGCGAATTGGGATGGAAATACAAGTTTCATTTGTTTTTTGGTTTTTTACAAGCGAGTATGATACAAAGAGACCAGGTTGGTCTGCACAGCCAAGGGATAATGGCGTTCAAATTAGAAGGGAACCATGGACTTTAGACCAGAGCATCTGGCTTCTTCTTTGTAAAAGCCCTCGGGGCATAGAGAGCGCCTCTGCAAACGCATGATGGCGAAAGAATCTATTTGAGTTTGAAAGCAATCTTTGACAATCATAAACCGTGACTTAAGCGCGAAACAATAGCGACAACGGTAACGTACTTACTCGCGGTAACAACACTACTTTGTGATAACGTGACAAAGAAATGGGAAAGCCATTACAAGGTAAACACTTACTGCAGAGCAGAAGAGGGAGAAGAAAGAGAAACCCTATTCCAGAATCGGTATTTCCATTGTAGCAATTACAGTCACTTCTTCGAAGCCCTTGTCCTAGAGCCGCCTGGACGTCCAAACAAGAAGTTAGAGATCTTGTCTCCGAAAGGAACCACCGACGAGGGTACCTCTTGGTTCTGGTGCCTCCTCATGGGCCTACGACTGTAGGAACGAGGAGTCCACGATTGGTCATCCGAATCTCCACAACCCGACGACCTGCGCCCGTACGACGGATGATCCCGAATCACCTTCCTAAGCTCCGCCCTGGTCAAGTTCGGCCCCTCCAGCACTTGGCGCCGCAGCTTGGCATCGGACCTGCCACCAGGGCGACTCCTACCTCTCGCAATGATCTCTCGCAGGGGTAAAGATTGCAGCTCGGCCGGTATCACACCACTCACCTGGCTCACATCTACCTCAGACCCCTCGGGTCGATATCCAGCATCGTAGAAGAGTCCAGCTAGTTCGGGATACGCGTCCGTAAAGTCGTACCAGAAAATGGGGTTGCTGATAGCGGGTGCGTCTTGCGCATTGAGCGTTTGCTCTGGACTTCCGTCTTCGATGATGCTCTGCAGCAGCCAGACCAAGTCTACTGCAAGCTCATCTAGGAATCCCTCTTCCTCTATATGCCTGTCAACAACATACGAAAGTGCAATCTCGTTAACAAGAGCCGGCATGGTCAAGATAGTGGTGGAAGAGGAGTCATCCCCAAGACAGAGACTCACAGTCGGCAGCGTCTCAAAGCTACGCTCGAACGCCATGGTCCTCATCTTCACAGGCCACACCTGCCCTTCTTCGTCGGATACGCCGAGGGTGTCCGATTCGCCCGGGTAGTTGAGCATGCCGCTGGTGGCAGCCGCCCACGCCTTCATGACCTCTTGAGCGTAGGCCGGGCAGATGATTGTGACGTGGGAAGCGGAGCGGGAGCCATGGCCGTATGCTATCAGCGCCGCGTCGCCGCAAACAGCGTACTGTACATGTGAGAAGGTGCTCCCGAGACGGTGGAGGATTTGATACGTCGATGCAGGGCTTATGTCTGGTCTTGGAAAGGAAGGGCTAGGGGCATGGAGATACGACTCTGCCGGAGACTCTGGGGCTGCGTTGGCTCCAGAGCCATGCGGTTTACTTGGTGTGTTGTATCGCAATGATTGACTTCCACTTTGTTCAGACGTTTGCGAGGGAGACGAGGCCATGTTCCCGTCGGGACGGCGACAGCGGCTGGTTAGACGTTTCAAGGCTTTGATAACGGGGAACCGACTTGTGTGCTGACAGAATGCCTTGTCTGTCAACCCTGGTGGACTTTCGAGCGGAAAATCGAAAAGAGCTGTTGTAGAAGCTGTCCGCTGAGCGCGGTTTCTCGAGAAGTGGAGGCGGGTCGACACGGGGAATTGGAAAGCAGACCTCAAAGGAGAACTCTTGTCAGTTTGGCGAGACTTCATGCCGTGAGAATACAATACAGTGAGGCAAGGAAATGATGTCAGAAAGGTAGGAAACGGGTAAGCTTGGTGATGGGGCTTCTTGATCTGCTTCTAGCTGGAGCTTAGGAAGAGATGAACCTAAGCTCTTATGTAGATGTACGGAAATGGCCTCGAAGTGTCAAAACGATGCGAACAAGTTGTTGTTTAGCAGGCGACAATGGGATTGAAAATCGGATCTGTGTTTCTCGGATGTTCTGGGACTGTAAGAGAACAATGCACCTTCGCATGCACTTCGCCTTTGAGCACACTGGAGTGCGTTGAATGGCTTAACAAGCAACAAAGGTGTCATTCTCCCATTGCCTGGTGTAACTAGAACAGAGATATTTGCAGTGGCGCCTGGCTTTTGGGGGATTCGGCGCTAGGAAAGTCGTACGGTCAATACTTCATTCATGTCATGGGCCAAAACCTTGAGTTCATAGTCGTCTTATGCCTGGCGGGTCCTCTAGATGTTGGGTTCCCGTCCACCTAAACGCCTAATCGTACAGTGCTGGCAAAGTCCTTGTATCCCGCCCTAGACCGTTCCTGAATCATGGCCCTAAACTCCCTCACAACTCCTCTTCCACATCCATCGAGTCACCGTTCGATTGATCCTTGCCACCCGCCGGTCCGTCCTTCTTAGGCATCGTCGCTTCCTTGTCGATCATCTGTCTCGAGACGGACACAATGTTGTCCTCAATCAGCTGCTGGCCGACGTCCTCCAAATGCTTCTTGGGGTCGAGCTTGCCGACATAGCGGGTCTTGAGCTGGTCCTTTGTCAATTCGGTTTCTTCCTTGACGCGCTTCTCATAGCCTTCCGCAAGGCTGACAAGACGCTCCAAGCGCTCCTTGTTGCAGTCGCCCTCGTGTCTGAAGTCGTTCATCTCCAATGCCTCGGTCCAAACGTGCTTGTGCAGGTTCATGAGCATGTTCTCCTCGAGCGCCGTCTTTCGGTAGTTGATGCCGATGGAGTAGTAGTGTCTGTTGAGGCCGTGGATGAGGGCCTGGATTGAGGGTTTGTTGAGGTGGCCCAAGTTACTCGTGCTTTGCCGGGGCTCTTGGCCCAGCATAAGGGACTGAGGGTTGATCAGGCGGAAGGCGTCAATGACAACCTTGCCCTTGACGGACTGAATGGGGTCGACGACGACGGCGACAGCACGCGGGGTAAGCTGCTCGAAGGACTGCTGGGTGTTGATATCGACGGATGAAAGCCAGCATCCGAAACCAGGATGGGAATGGTACCATCCAACGACGGCCTCGGGTCTATTTGCAACATGTTTGTCAGTATATGCGACTGCGATATGGCTAGGGTAGGGATGGCGGGGTCCGAACTCACCTTCCGGTTTGTCTCAACATGTCCATCATCTTCATCTGGAAAACAGGGTCGACGGCCTCTACACTAACGCCGGTACCACTTTGGGGCATGGCGAAAACATCCACCACGCGTACCGTGAAGTCGTCGACGAACTCTCCCAGCATCAGACCCATGACTTCCATGGGAACACCAGCGCGGCCGTGTCGCAGCATCTTGAGGAGGGCAAGGGAGGAGATGTAGACGGTCTCGGAGTTGTCGATAAGCTGTGTGTTATCCTGCAAAACGGCGTAAGTATAACGTTGCGAGGGCCTGGACAATCGGAGCTGTCAAGGCAGCTCGACAAGGTGGGATGCTCTTACGGTTCCGGGTTGGCTGCCCAGGCCACCGAGGCCTTGGGACTGGAGCATGTTCCTAAAGCGCTCCATTGTGATGCTGTGAACGTTGGTGAAGATGTAAAGATGGAGGATTGAGCTGGCGTCGTCGAAATGCTGTCGCGGAAGGAGGTGTTCGTGTCGATTTGGAGGGGCGTAGGTTGGGGTGATGGAGGCGGATGGAAGCAGCTGGGTCGTGGAGTTGAGTGGTGTTGACGACAGCTCTGAGCAGCCTGGCGAAAATGGTCCCGGCGGCGGAGCTAGCCTGGTCCGGTACGTACTGCCCGTGCCTGGCTGACAAACAGTCACGTGTCTGACCTTAGGAGCTGTATCGGTGTGGGAAGGAGCTCACCGCAAAAGATAGGGCTATCCGGCTTAGTCCTATTCTGTCACTTATTGAATCAAATAAAAACCCCGACTTGATATCGTTGAACGGCAACCCGATTTTTCCATTCCAATTTTGAAGTGTGAAAATCCGTTGTTGGACGACAGTTTGAGATGTGAAGTGTGAGTGGTCAAGCCACATGTAGTGCCGCATTCGGCTAGACTGACATGCCGAAGCTCTCCAGCCACACTACCGGGTCATCCCCCACTGCGTTCAGTCCCTGAGGATGAATCCATCATCTACTTTACTCTTCACTAGCCTCCTCGTCCGGCCGACTTATCTTGCTCAAGGCTTCGTGTTGGGTAAGTATCGCACTGGAAACGATCAGAGTAATGCTCGGAACTCATCGATGCTATTCTTGAGCGATGGCAATCCTTGGGACTGCTTCTCGCGCAAATGACAAGTCGACGTCACTAACCCCCGGCATTTAGAATGGTTACGCCCCATAGCATCCACTCAACTAAACACCTTGTTGCTACCCTCTACTCTATTTCAAGTCAAAGATGAATATCTGCCGCCTTTACTTAGACCATCATCAATTACAGTCACATCATCCTCAGAACACAACATTTGCGATATGTCAACGTCCACTGCCAACTTCACGGGCTCCTGACTCAATCAGGTAGCGGCTCAGCGGTTGTTATGATTCAATGCCCGGCTTGCGGAGAGTATCCATGTCAGCCTCCAGTTCACCATCTTTCCACAACACAGCGCGACATCGTTTTTGAATACCAGATGGTCTGAAGGGACGAGAATGCCCGGAAACCGAGCAACCCATCCACGCCGATTTTGAGTTCCGTGATTTCAAACAAACAGCCAGTCCATCTGAAGAAAACAACAGACGAGGCTAGACGTATTCGGAAAGACTGTCTAGATCGACATAGTGGGAGAAGCTCAAAGCCTTGAGGGCTGCAGAGAACGAAACGTATGGAAAAGTGTGGTCTCACTGGAGGCAAAATGATAGGCGCGACGGTCCCGAACATCGAGCCGCGGCGGTCGGATCTCCTGC